CTATTGAGGTGAGGAAGAAGATTTAAGGTAGAAGTTCAGATATTTTATTCACTGGTTTTTACATGTATATATATACAGAAACGGAAGCTGCCCTATTTTACATTTATGGAAAGAGCTGATGAAAAGGAAATATACAAAAGGAATGAAATCTTAATTATTGCAGATTGGCAGAATAATCGGGAGAATCATCTAAGCTTGATTTCCCTGGTGATTGAGCCATTGACGGAGAATCATTCAACTTTGATTTCCCGTGTGATTGAGCCATGGATGGTGCAGTATCTGCAGTTGCCTTAATATGCCCCCGCAAGATGGTGGAGCCATCGACGACACCAATCTTGGACCGTAGCAAGGCAAAGCGGAAGGAAGGTAATGGTTTGGTTAGCCCATCTGCAAGTTGATCTGCTGAGGCAATGTGAGAAACACAAAGAATTCTCTTGTCAACTAAATCACGAATAAAGTGGAGATCAATTGCAATGTGCTTCATACGGGAATGCATGACTGGATTACTGCTGAGGTAGGTAGCACCAACATTGTCACAGTAGAGAACAGGTGGAGTACCAGAAGGAAGACCAAGCTCACTCAACAAATGGAGGACCCAAACTAACTCAGAGGAAGCAGCGGCCAAGGCTCTATACTCTGCCTCGGTAGAGCTTCGAGCAATGGCTTTTTGTTTGCTAGCCTTCCAAGATATAGGTGTGGCACCGAGAAAGACAAGATAACCGGTAGTAGAAACAAAGGTGTCCTTGTCACCTGCCCAGTCAGAATCACTAAAAGCATGGAGGGCGAGACTAGAGCTGGATCGTATCATTAAGCCATGGAACATGGTGCCCTTCAAATACCGTAGAATCCGTTTGACTGCCTGCCAGTGCAACTCAGTGGGACAATGCATATACTGAGACAACTTATTTACTGCAAATGAGATGTCAGGACGAGTTAAGGACAAGTACTGTAAAGAGCCCAGTAATTGCCTGTAAGCTGTAGCATCGGAGAGAAGAGGAGAACCACTCTGAGGTGACAAACCCGAGGAGGACATTGGTGTGGCAACGGTTTTGGCACCATCCATTTTGCTTTTTTGTAAGAGATCATTGATATATCGGTGCTGAGAGAGAAATAAACCGGCAGAAGTTTTAACGGCCTCAACACCCAAAAACAGACTAAGTTCACCAAGGTCCTTTAATGAAAATTTCTGCCCCAACTTGGTGATTAAATCTGAGATGAAAGCAGTACTGTTGCCAGTAATCAGTAGATCATCAACATAAACTAACACATAGATAATAATCCCGGATTTATTATAAATAAACAAGGAACAATCAGAGCGAGAGTTAACCAAGCCACAAGCAAGCAAGAATTGCTTCAGTTCCGTATACCAAGCGCGGGGAGCCTGCTTGAGTCCATAGATGGCTTTCTTCAATTTACAGACATGATGAGGAAGATTTTGATCAATGAAGCCGGCCGGTTGAGCCATATATAAGTCTTCCTCAACAAAGCCATGGAGAAACGCATTATTCACATCAAGTTGCCGAATTGGCCAGGCTTGACTGACAGCAATGGTGAGCACAGTGCGGATGGTGGTGGGTTTTATAACAGGGCTAAAGGTATTGGAATAGTCGTGACCAGGCCGCTGATGAAAGCCTTTGGCCACTAGCCGCGCCTTGTAGCGCTCAATTTCACCATTTTTTCCTCTTTTCAACCGAAACACCCACTTGCATCCAATAACATTCTGGGTCGGAGAGGCCGGAACCAGATCCCAAGTCCCTTGGCGAACAAGAGCATCAAACTCATCAGACATAGCCCTTCGCCATTGGGGATGGCTCAAGGCTTGGCTCACACATGAGGGCTCAACAGTGGTGGGGAGAGGATATTTGGTGGCAAGATGCATCTGTTTTGGTTTGAAGATGTGATTGAGGGAGCGGGTGACCATAGGGTGAGTTCGGTGGGTGTTGGGCGGTGCTGGTTAGGGGGGGATTGGGGCTGGACTGGTTGAGGGGGAGCAGGGGACTGGAGAAGGCGAGACAGAGGCTGGTGACGAGGGGGAGACAGGGGACGGGGACGAGGAAGAGGGAGAGGGAGAGGGAAGGGAATCAACGGCAACAGGGGAGGTAGTAAGAGGGCAAGAAATACCTGAGCATGGGGGAGACGAACCCAGATCTGGACCGCAAGCAGTGGGAGGCGATGCTTCCTGCGAGATGGGGATGATGAAGTCCTGCAGAGGTGGGTTGGCAGTGGTGGAGGGCACCGGCGGTAGCAAGACTGGAAGAGGAGCCGGGGATGGAGCTGAGTCCGGTGCTGGAGAAGCGAAAGGAAAGAGAGAGGCTGATTTGGTGGAGGGCTGAGACGAAGATGCAGGAGAAAAATTAGAGATTTGAATACTGGGGAAATTTTGAATTTGAGAATCTGATTTTTCTGTAGAAGCCCGAAAAGGAAAGTAATTTTCATGAAAAATAACATGCCGGGAAATAAATATTTTATTAGTTTGAGTATCAAAACACTTATAACCAAGGTGATCAACAGAGTAACCAATAAAAATACATTGATGAGATCTTGCTTGAAGTTTATTTTGGGTGTATGGGCGCATCCAAGGATAACAGGCACACCCAAAAGTTTTTAATTTTAAATAATTTGGTGGGATAGAAAAAAGCTTTTGAAAGGGAGATGTGAAAGACAAAACAGAAGTAGGTAAACGATTGATTAAATATACTGCAGTTTGAAAAGCATGGGACCAAAAATGAGTGGGAAGTGAACTGTGGTGGAGTAAAGTGAGACCAGTTTCAACAATAGATCGATTTCGTCTTTCACAAATACCATTGAGTTCTGGAGTGTAGGGTGGGGTGGTGAAATGAGAAATACCATGTTGTTGAAAATAATTTCGAAGAGCAACATATTCCCCACCTCCATCGGAATAAAAATTAATTATTTTACGCCCAAATTGATTTTCAACGAGAGACTTGAATTTTGGAAAAATAATTGAGACATCGGACTTCTTTTGAATTGGATATAGCCAAATATACCGACTGTATAAATCCACAAAAATAGTAAAATATTTGTGACCATCAATAGACGTGGTAGGAGCAGGACCCCAAACATCGGAGAAAATATATTCAAGAGGGGCATGGCTAGTGATGGAGGATGTTGAGAATGGGAGTTTGTGACTTTTAGAGCAAGAACAAGAATCACAGTGAAGACCATCAAATTTATTTATTAATGGCAAATCAATGACACTGAGAATTTTTTTAAATATTTTGGATGATGGATGTCCCAGCCTTGCATGCCAATTTATTGCCGATGCCTTTTCTCCAAGATATGCCATGGGCATTTGTTTAGAAGGGCCCATTAGAGGAACTTGGTACATCCCATGTCGGTTTGGCCCTCGCAGTAGTATCGCCCCCATGTTGCGATCCTTCACCAAGAAAAAATTAGGGTGAAATTCAACAGTAGAATTTGTGGTTTGACATAATTGAGAGACAGAAATAAGATTACGAGATGCTGTAGGTACAAATAAAACATTATGTAAAGGAAGAGATGAGGTGGGTGTTGTGAGGGTAGTATGACCAACATGAGTGATTTTCAAACCTGAGCCATCTCCAATAATTAGTTCATCAGGGCCATTATATTCTGAATGTAATGCCAGGTTCGACAAATCAGTTGTGATATGATTATTAGCACCTGAATCAATCACCCATTCATTAGTGTTTGGACTGGTAGATGCTGCATAGTGGGCTGAGGGTCCTTGGCCTTGATTTCGAAACAGTGAGCATGTACGAGCAGTATGCCCGGTGAGTTTACAAGTCGGGTTTCTTCCCGGTGCATGCTTTCTTCATGCGCAACTAGTCTGTCATGAAGTTCTTCAAATGAAAGTGGCTCATCTCGAGCACGAATTGAAGCAGAGATCTCACGAAATTCAGGGCCTATTCCGTTGAGTACATGTACCGTCAAGTCATCGTTGGTAAGAGGTTT